CAAAGTTAAAAAGGCCAACAAAGTGTTTTATTAAATCCTTACTATATGTATATAATCCTTGAATTTGGGGTGTCTGTTTGTATGTATGTTCGTCTGTCTGTCTGTCACGCAATCCGGTCTTACCTGAAAAAACACCTTTAGAGGTCGGGACAAGTCAAGTTCGGGAGTTCGGGTGGAGCCTAAGAAAAAATTAATAGAGCACATACGAGCTCTGCGGAGCTCCGTCCACGGGGGAGTTTCATAATTGTTCAAAGGTGAGGATTGGGTCAACCAACCAGATGGAGGAGACCCACGTGTTTTGGGCGGAGCTTTCTCTAAATGGGCGGTACTTTTCAGGTGTATTCATAACTCGATTCAATTAAGGCGCAGAGGCCGGAAAAATAAAAAGAGCGAGCAGGGCCTTACGCGTGCTGGGCATGCGTAAGCTCAGTGAAGACCTGCCCACGATAGGCGGGGCGTGCGTTGAGACGAAAGCCATTTTTCAAAAATGAATGTAACTTTGCTTGAAAACGTTCTGGAATGCGGTTAATAATTGGATAGAGGTAATGGAACAAATGGGATCAAATCAAATACTCGAAGTGGGCGAGGTTGGCACTAAAGTAGACGGAGCTTAGAACAAAAATTTATAACTCTGTTCAGAAACGTTCTGGGCTGCGCGAAAAAAGTGGTAGGATGTAGAAGAACAAATGTGGTCAGATCCCACAAGTGGGCGGGATTGGCATTGAAGTGGGCGGGGCTTTCATCGAAACTATTAAGTCTCTTCATATGCGTTTTAGAACGCGAGGAAAAGGTGTCTTGATGTAATAAAAGTAATGTGGTTCGAAGTCTGAAGTGGATGGGGTTCACAAAGAGGGGGTGGGGGAGACGGGGCTGAGAAGGAAAATTCATACATCTATCCTTCACACTAACCCTGACCACATAGGTGTACAATAGGGGATACCACTAAACTCTTTCAAAAATTAGGCTAAAAATTTTCTACATATCCATGGTATCCAGATAGTATCCATGGTTCCACACACAGTAGTCCCTTCTACACAAGAGTAAATGCAAGTGAATGCACTACATTAATTTCATAAACTACAACTTCAGACTTCATAAAATGAATTTTACAATAACCCCGGCCACACAGGTGCGTACCCTGTAGAGTACCTGTAGAGACGTGTAAATCCCTGGAACTACCCAAAGGGGCTATCCTTTCAAAGTTAATGTTCATGGCCACACACAGCCCAAACTACACAGTTTCTTCGACTACATGAACTGCGAAGGTATTTGATTTGGATACATCGGAGTACTCTTCATGGCCACACATAGCCCCATTTCACATCCCAAAAAATGGTGGACGCTACAGAAGTGTCAGGGAAGAGGCTCAGATGATAAAGGTCTACAGTGAAAATCAGAAGCTCATGTGGCTCCGTCTCTCATGGCTAGAGCCCCCAGCGCACGCGATAGCATGCGTTGGGGGCTCTAGCCATGAGGGACGGAGCCACACGAGCTTCTGCCTGGTTTTGTCTGAATACACAAATAGAGGTTATGGCTAGCGATAATGGTATGCAAAACTCGAATTCTGGTCAGCTACTGATCGATTCTGATGAGGAGCAGGTAGAAGATAAGGACGACACAGCTTATGCGCTTCTCTCGGGCAGTGTCGATTTTTGATTAAACGGAGTTGAAGAATATGATAGATTCACTTTCGATGAGGACTACGGCGTATATGATGTCTTGGTTTGTGAAAACCCGATCGATAACTTTGAATTATTCTTGGACAGCAATATTGTGGATTTGAATACAACAGAAGTCAACTGGTATAGCAATGCAAAGTTGCCGCAGTTGGAAACACATTTGCGCGAATCAACAACGGAAAATGTGTCTTCAAATGGGTCTGGTAAGAATACCTACTTCGAGAAATTATTTGTCTTCAGAATCATCACTTGGTCTAGTTGTCACTCAATTATGAGTTCAGACATTACCAGAAATCGTTTCTGGGAGCTTTTACGAGCATTCCATTTGGTCGGTAATAGCGAAAATGCTTCGGACGACCGTCCTTTCAAAATATCTCATCTTTTGAAGTTGTTCAACCAACGAAGAATTCACCACAGGTAATGTACTTCTTAGAGAAAACACCTTTAGAATCACAAAACCAGAAGATTTCCTTGGACCACGCAGTATGTAGTTTCATCCAGGCTTGATTCAATGTTTCGAAAAGAAAGATCGTTAAAAAGTGGAAACTTAAATGAATAAAATAAAAAAGACAACTGCAGTCTTCAGGACTACACCGTCCTGCACGGTCAAAAAAACACGAGAAGGAGGAGAACCCAGCGTCAGGAGGGGGGGGGGCATCCGACTAGTTTTCTTAAAAGACGTTTCGTGTAAATTTGCGGTAAACAGTGAATCTTCTGTCATTCTTTGGTAGATTCTAGGCCAAAAAGATTCCTGATCCTAGTTTCAGACCGCTGCAAGAGATCGAGGAGTTATCCTCCCGCCACGAGATGAACGCCGAAATCAGCTGGAAAATCTATTAATGCTGAAATTTTCTCAGGCCACGAAGTGTAGAATGAAAGAAAGGTAACCTGGAAGTTTCAATTATTTTCTCCTTTTACTGTAATGAATGTGTTTCATTCTTTTCTTTGACTCCTGTGATTTTTTTATAAGGAGGGCGGGTATCTAATCGCTGAGGAAGTCCTGCAAAGAAATATGATTGCATACTCTTTTTGCTTCAGAACTTATATCCTACTTACTATAAAGCGCTTAGTCTGTCTGTCTGTCTGTCTGTCTGTCGTCTGTATGTCTGTCACGAAATTCCTTAGCTCCTTTAGATCTGCCTGGAGAGACCGGGTGAAGTGTGGGATGGGTGGGCCAGGTCTCGAGAAGTATAAAACACACATTAGCTTGGCGGAGCCCCGCCCACAGTGGGCGTGGCATGCATCGAAATGAGCTGTACTGAGGACCATGATTTCAAATTCAGTCATAAGACGGCTTCAAAACTGGGGTTTAAAGGTGGCTTGAGGTGTGCATTGGTAAGTTAGATCTAAATGGGGAGACCCACCCCCGATGGGCGTGGCGTTCTCCAAAAATGCAATGCTTTATGAAAACATTTATAACTCGGTTTGGAGAAAGCCAACACAGCAGGAAAAAGTTGATTTGGGAGAAGCATTGTCGAAGGTGTGTCCAGCATAAATGACGTCAGCGGAGGCCCGCCCACAATGGGCCGAGCGAGCCTCGAAGCTCACATCCCTTCTAACATTTATACACGAAAATCCATAACTCCAGTTCCCATGGACCTAGAAAGTTCAAATTTGGTAGGGGTACAGGCGGCATGATGGGAAAACTTATGGTGGGTGGTAAAACCAGACTCCACCCACAAGGGGCGGGGTTTGGGCGAAAATTCATAACTCATGTCCCTATGGACCTAGAAAGTTCAAACTTGGTAGGAGTACAGGCGACAGGATGGGAACACTCATGATGGGTGGCAGGACCAGGCTCCGCCCACAGGAGGCGATGTTTGAGCGGAAACTTATAAATCCGATAAAGGTCTGTAATGAAAATCAGCTCATGCGGCTCCGTCTCTCATGGTTAGAGCCCCTAGCGCGCGAGAGCGTGCGTAGCCGCCTGGTTTATAGACAAGGTTTTCAGCCTATGTGTCTGTATGACAAGGATTTCTGTCACAAGGGTTCTTTCTTGAAGTCCGCTGTTTATCCCCAAAAAAATGACCCACCCATTTCCCGGCGTTGGTACGTCTTTGTTCCAGATGTGCTCTATACAGTGCGCGTCAATTGCTTATGCCACCCCCACATTTTCCTGTTATCTCGGTTCCTACCCACTTCTGTCACATGTGACATACTGCACTACAATGGACTGTGTCAGAGACTCACATATACGAGACATACACCTGTTCGGAGAAACAGCTTCATTTTTACAGTTCATTTTAATAAATGTGCCGCGTCAAAATTATATGCCATACTTCAACACATAATGAAAAAAAACAGAAAAAAGCACAATTGGTAAAGCATTAATACTTAGTTGGACCACCTATTTTACGAATAACTTCGAGGATTCTATTTGGCGCACTGTCAATGAGATTTTGAATTACATTTTCTGGAATTGAGTTCCATGCACTTAGAATGGCTGCTCTCAGCGAAGAAACATTGTCNCTTCCTTCTTTCTTCTTTCTTCTTCCTTCTTCCTTCTTCCTTCTTCATTCTTTCTTCTTCTTCTTCTTTCTTCTTCTTTCTTCCTTCTTCTTTCTTCTTGCTTCTCTTTCTTCCTTCTTGTTTCTTTCTTCATTCTTATTATTTGGTCTTTTTCTCCCTGAAACTTGATGTTTTTCACGTTCAGCCAGAGCCCATTCTCCATTGGAACTTTTATTCATTTCTNGTCGATGCAGCGTCTGGATCGGCCGAGTTGTTCCGCGATGGCCTTGTTGCTATGGTCTGCTTGACGAAGCGATAGAATTTGGCATTGTTCTGTTGAAGATGGACGACGACCTTTAGGCATGGCGGACTGCTTTGGATTGCGGACAGGACAGCTTCGGACAGAAGGCGGTAGGACTGCGCGGACTTGAGATATTTCGTAGCAATGACGGCATGGCATAAGCAATTGACGCGGCTAATTATCACGTTCCCGCCAAAAAAAGGGCGCTACCGCCGCGTTCAAATATGTATAGGCTTTGTTGAGACTCTTGTTCACTCAGTAAGTGTTGGTCAACATTTCAACTCGCAATGTTGCCTAACAACTCAGATAAAAGAAAAAAAAGGGGATGGCATATGCAATTGACGCGCACTGTATTGCATAACATACCCAGCAGTGGCCTTCGTTGCGCATTCACAGCTCATTTTTCTACATGGACGGACACATACTGAAATGAAACTGAAATTAAAACTAAAATTTCAAACTAGAATTATGATTTTAAAAGCTTCCCGGCGTTGATAAGTCTTTTGAGATCTTGTATTCGAGTTTTATTCAGAATACTAGTGACGTTTCGAATGTGAGTGAAGCTTATGCAATTATTTGCGGTGACAGCTAGCGAACGAGTCGATGCCTTTATCTTGTCGGGCGACTGAGGTATCGTTCAACTGACCCGGTAGGAACGGAATGCTGCTTGGCTGAGGCTTGTATCGTTCTCTAAAATTTCATCCGCGCTCTGAAGAATGCGGAACGGTTCTCCAATCCTTCCTGGCAATTTACCTCGTCTCTAGGTCAAGTTACTCTGTTGGTTTTCGTTTCATGAAGATCATTGATATAGATAAGATAGATGAAGATCTTTAGTGGTCACAGCCCTATAAAAGCACCTTAGCTTATTGCTCCGTTTCGAGAATGAGTGAGTAACGATTGCATGGCTGGCAAGCTCATCTCGAACGTTCGATTCGCCGCACTTTTCGTCGAGAGTACGACTGCCCGACATTGCCCCTTCTACGATTGTAACTGTCCAAATAAATAACTGAATAATAACTCTATTTACCAGGGAACGCCGTGGAGGTTTGCCAAACTGAGCCTCTCACATAGATTTCCAGAATCCTTAGTTAATATAAAGCGCCTGCGTCCGCCTGTCTCGCAATTCTGTATTACCCGAAGGAGCAGTAGAAGAGATTGGGTCGAGAGTGAGACAGATCTAGCATAGTAGAAGAACAACAGAGCGCTTGTGAACTCAGCGGTGCATGCTTCCCTGTGAGAGGGGCATTTGCAGAAATTCGTCACTTCGTTCAGAAACGTTCTAGAATCCGGAAAAAATTAGAGGCTATCGGAAGTGGGGTAATAAAATTTTTATGCCGGGCAGGGCTCTTTCTTCTTCTTGTTGTTCTTCATAATCTTCTTCTTCACCTTCTTCTTCTTTTTCCTTCTTCCTTCTTTCTTCTTTCTTCTTACTACTTCCTTCTTCCTTCTTCCTTCCTCCTTCTTCCTTCTTCCTTCTTCCTTCTTCCTTCTTCCTTCTTCCTTCTTCCTTCTTGATTCTTTCTTCTCCATTCTTCTTTCTTCTTCTTTCTCCCTTTTCTTCCTTATTGCTTCTCTTTCTTCCTTCTTGTTTCTTTCTTCATTCTTATTATTTGGTCTTTTTCTCCCTGAAACTTGATGTTTTTCACGTTCAGCCAGAGCCCATTCTCCATTGGAACTTTTATTCATTTCTACAGCTTGTCTTGAGCTCTTCCTTACTCTCCGCTATCAGAGCGATGTAGTCGGCGCAGAGGATGGTCTTCAGTGGTCCAATCAGGAGCTCTTTTGTGGTACCATCTAATGTTAGTAGGAAGAGGAACGGCTCGTGGCTGTTCCTTAATGTATCCCAACCGTGACGTCTATGGCTGCTGTTACACCTTGAAGGGTGCGAACGTTAGTTATGGACTCATCGTGCATGTCCTTGATCAAAGAGCTCAGGTGTTCCAGAACGTTTCTTCCACGGACGCTCTCCAGGGATCTGTTCTGAGTATACCGTCAAATGTCTTCTCTAGATCTAGGAGGGCTAGGAAGCAGGGTCTACGGTCCTCTCGATACTTCTCCATCACTTGTCTAGCTATGTAGATGGCATCTGTTGCAGACCTTTTTGGCATGAAGCCATACTGCTCCTGTGAAATCGGAACCAATTCTGTCATTCTTGTGTCGACTAGCCGCTCGTACAGTTTCATCGTGTCCTGCAGTTCGCTTGATCCTTCGGGAGTTAGAACAGTCCATCACATCACCCCTCTATATGGTGATGCGAACGATATTACTGCTCTGCTACGCATCCGGGGTAGTTCCTTCAGTGGTCACGGTGTTGAATCGCTTGAGCCACCTAACCCCATGTCCCCTTGCCTTCCATGCCTCAATGGGGACTCTATCCGGACTAGTTGTTTCGCCAGCCTTCATCTTCCCGTCTTCCCTACGCACATCATCCTCTGCTCAGAGTGCGATAGGACAGATGTTGCTTCAATTTGAGGGGGGGGGGGCTGTATTCATGGTGAAATTCTTCACCTAAAAGCCTGTCGAGGTATTCTTTTCATCACGCCTGACCTCGCGGGTTTCCTCGAAATTACACCCTCGCTGTTTTTTACGGACTTCTCCACCCGGATGTCTCGAGTAGCACGGTGCCGTGCTCTGGCCAGCCAGAGGACGAACTTCTCTCTTCGGCCATCGAGCTTTTCGTATAAGGCATTAAGCTCTTCAGCTGTCCTTTGCCTTTACTACAGCAGCCTTGACAGTCTTTGCAACTTCTGCAAGCAGCTAGGCCTTTTGGAGTACGCGTCTTTTGTCAGTGTTTGTAAGCGGCTTTTTTTCTGCCTCACAACTCGATGGATTTCATCGTTCCAGAAACACGCTGTCTGGTGACCTCTGAGCTCTCCCGCGTCCCACCCAGTGTTTTCTTTTGCACACAGCAGGATGGCCTTTACTGCGTCGCTCAATGCCTGTTAGAACGGCCCTTGAGGGTTGGGAAGACCGCGCATAGCTGCACTGCTGTGGTCAGAAATTCATAACTTCGTTCCATAGCATTCCAGAAGCTTGAGGAATTGGTTAGAGGCTGCGAATTAAAAGTGGCAAACCATTTGGGTGGGTGCGCCGTGTGCCCCAGTGGACGGAACTAGGACCGAAAACTCATAACTCTGTTGGAAAACGGCAGTTGTCATCATGCCACCTCCCTATAATCTAACAATTGCGCTCTTAAGGCGCGCCTGCAACCCGTGCGGTTTTCGATCCGATCGGTAGGGTACTAGTAGCGTTGTTACTGCTTACATACTTGCGTCGTCTATCGAATTGACACTGTTAATCTAAAGTGCATCTAACTCTGAGCAATCACCTGTCAGAAAAATAGTGATGGAATGACATTGTACGTTTGCAGAGGCTTTGAGTGCCCGAACGGAAACGTTCTTGGGAACTGCAATCTCAACAATTCCACTATTTTATTCAAGATTTGGATGTGTTGAGGTCGTGAAGAATCAGCAGTAGTATCTAGAGATGTAGTTCCCTAACCGCCCTGAAAAAAAAACGAATCCGTGCTCCATGTACTGGTTCGAACACTACTCAGGAACTCTTTTGCAACAGCTTTCTTGGCGGCGATATATAACGAGGGCATTTTCCTTGGGAGGGTACGATTGAGGCACGCTTTCGTGACCCACTAAATTTCGATGAATTCTCCGCACTCCTATGAGGAAACAAAGATCTTTCTTCGCCGACCGTCGAAACAAATCTGTTAGCATAGCTGGCAAGAGAACATTCAGTTGTGATTACAGCGTACTTACTAAATGGAAATGTTTGCGAGAGGCGGGAACGTTCAAATGACCTTTTGGCTGTGTGTCAGAATGATGATGACGGAGTGAAGTTTTTTTGCATAAACAAGTGAGTGAAGCTTCGACAGCTCTCGACTATCATGTGACGTCAACCTCTGCGATCTTTGCCTTATCGAGTGTTACGAAAAGAACGACTCCTGTGACAACTCTTCTACCCAGTGTGGGAATCGAACCCACCCACCTTCGATGGAAATATACGAGCAACATGTGACATTTCATCTTTCGCACCTAATTAGAGTCATCTTGCACTTACAAGGGAGGGATCCCAAGTTGAAGTGGCCACGTGGAATGAGACCCACACTTCCGAGCGTATTTTTTGATGCTGATTTCAAATCTGCATCCAAAATTTGCCAAGCGATTCTCTGAACGAAGTAGTGAAGATGGTCTCCGGTGAGCGCTCAACAGGGGAAAGCACAAAAGACATGGTCGCCGGCAACCCAGCAGTGGCAGCTTGGAGTGGAGGTAAGCGTGACGCTTCACAGGCATGTGACCAAGGATCGGGTTTGGTGGGCGGCGGCGTTCTTGCATTGTGCAGGACTTTTCTCTCCAAGTTGTAAAGTTCTTTTTATGTTAGTTCTAGCACCTTCAGCGACTTTTTAGTTGTTGAAAGCGAGTCAGTCAGACATCTACCCCAACCACCAACTTTACAAAAATTCTATTCTTGTTGTTATACATTTCAAATTCACTGTTGGATAACTTTTAGTTATTTCAAGCAGATGTAATAATCTAGCGCGAAGTTTTTAAACAAAAGTTTTTCACAATGAGCGCAACGAATGAAAAAATTCCACCGCAGGCTGTTCCCTCACAACCACTTACTACACCAGGTGGAAAGCAGAACTGTGTAGATGTCTCAAAATCTCCTGGATGTGTGCTCAGAAAGCCGGCAGAGTGCCATGAGTAAGAGAGAAACTTCCTAAACCTGAGCACAGAATTGGAAGTATACGAGGGCAGTAATCAAAGAAATGAATCGCGATTATACACGCTAAACTTGAGATCACGAGCAAATACGTATGAGGTGGTACGTTTGTACATAGTTTCGAATGGCAAAAAGAAATAGTACCGGTCCCCTGCTTTGGAATTCGCGACTAGCGATCTTTCCCTGTTGATTTTCAAAGCCATTCGGCGTATACTTCCTCTTTCAAGTCGTCCACCAGCGTTCGTAGAGCATCCAAACGACACTCGCGAATCTCGTCTATTCGATAAGGTCATAACTCCCCACCAAAACAAAAAGCTGCTATAACTAACCTTCTCTTTCAATTTGCCTCAACCTCAATAGGTGGTACTCGAATTAAGAGGAAATTGGAACTCATGCACGACAACGAACGGCCTCCCTTTGCGTTTGACCGATAGGATCTGATAGCGATTTCCACCTGGATTTGTCGGCTATCTCGCTCTTATAAATGTTCTAGAAAGAACCTGTACCTGCTCCTGGACACCTCATTACCAAACATCAACGACCCTTGCTGTTTCCTCTTCATCATCGGGTTCACAGTGGATCGGCTTCCTCTTTGAAGGTGTTCTGATTAACTTTTATGTTTTCCTTGACCAATAATTGATATGGCTCTGGGGAACATGGTACATGATTACGAGAAAGGATCTTATTCCTCTCATCGGCTTTGGAAGTCGTAATAGGGATCATACGTTTAATACGAAAACTGAACACTTTTTCCACGCTGACCACCTTTTCGAAGATTGTCTAAGCGCGCGCCGCTGAGAGAACAATTGCCGTTCGGGTAGGGTACTGCATTTGTTCCTTTTCTGAACTTCTCTTTCAAAAGCTTACAAGGCTTCCAAAAATATCTGGATACAGTTGTACCTACTCGAGGGAGGCTTTTCTCATAGAAGTAAAACATACATTCAACTTGGCAGCCATTTTTCTCGTCTTTCTGCGGGTTTCGTACCGTATCACTCCCATGCACTTGTATTTGGAAAAAGGGTCTTAATCGAGGCAAGCCAACTTTTTCAAAAACTGATTACTTAGGAGCATCAAAGCAGATACGTGAGCCAGTGTATGTCATGAACATAATGGGAGGCGCAGATTTGGAGCACACTCCAATCAAGGAATTTGCGGACTTCAACGAAGTTGTTACCACATTTATGGCGCACCCACTACATGTAGGCGTATGTGTATGTGTACATGTGTACGTATGCGTATATGTGTGAGAAACAGATTCAGGAGACGGTCTGTGAGTTTGGTATACAGTAATGCGAACTGGCACTTGAGCGCGGTGTCTGATTCGGGCGCAAGCAGGGAAACGTTTTTAGCTACTTCATCTTAACTTCAGAGAACAACAAAAGCAAAACAGGGTATAGTGAAGAGATCAGTAATAAACGCACCGAATATTGTTTATTGTTTTGCTTAGTACGTCATTCGACATGCCGTAAAAAACATAAATATGATGCATAGAGACAAAAACTCAAACTGAAAGAACTAATTACCATAACAAGTCAAAAGTGAGGATATCTATAAAGGATACGTAACCACCATCTAGTCATTCTAGTATACCTAAAACTGAGCATTGCTAACTAGCAACAATGGTTTGGAAAGCTTGAGTGTAGCGCAAGACGAGAGCTGGAGAACTGACACAGGGGTAACCAATTTCACAAATTGTAGAATGATAATCTAGTGACAATAAGTGTGTAAACCAAGTATGGCAAAGGCACAACCATAAGCAGTTGGCACAGTTAGCCTCGAAGCAAGAAGCACTTGCTCGGAGTGGGACCCCACATCAGCCGGCCATGATGCACTTCGCCACAGCCGGCGTCATAGGAACTCGCCAAAACTTCGAGACACGGGTTTACCGGCCACTCACGTGGAATTGGCAAGCCGGGGTAGCACTGAAGCCAGATATTACTCGCAAGCAAACACCAACTGTGAATGGAGGGTCCTCAAGTTGTGTAGTGAGCAAATAATTTGATTCACCTCTGGTCCTCACCAGCTTGGTCGTCATGCAACACAAAGAATATATGCACAATCAAGCAAAGTAAAACTGACTACACACACATAAAATAGGACACAGTAATTGTAATGGAGTAGTTGAACCATTAATAATTGAGAAGCCCGACATATATAAGAACAGCGGCATCGATTCCACATGCAAAGAAAAGCATTTCGTGACGCCATAACCATCATGCACCAGAAATAGCCAAGCAACTCCCTCATTACTTGTGTACTTTCATGCGCTAAACGACATGTTGCATTCTGAGAACCTCCAAAATGTTGGTTTTCCTTAGCTGTGCTCGGAACTGTAATGAAGATTTACATAAAAGAAGATTATGCGGCAGTAAACGTATCCAACGCGCGAAATAAAAAAGAAAGATTGAAAACCGTGGTGAAACAACTTCTCTGCAGCCTCTTATAATGAATAGAATACCCATTTCCACTCCTTCGGTATGGCCAGAATATCCAGAATTTACTGGCTTGCAATTTGATTTCTCGTTTGATGATTAGGAAGCCAAAATCTAGATCATTGAATATACGTCTATACTTTAAACTTTTCGTGTTTAACGTGTCAAGCCTGTCTTTGTAAGGTGGGAGAGCCTGTGGATAATTAGGATTAGGGAAGGAAACGATAAAACACAATCCTCGTAAAGATTTTTTGTACTCTCTCTAAACAGTATACATGTTTTCTCAAGAAAGGGCTCCACAAAACGGAACCGTATTCAAATTCAGGTGGTACGAAGGTTTTATAAAGTTTAACTAGTAGAGCAGGATTTTTACTATGGACGTTCCTCAGGATCACAAAGAGTGAACTGAGAGCTTTCCTTGCAACAGCAGTGATATGGTCATTGAAGCTCAACAAATTATCTACTAGAAGTCCAAGGTCGTTGACTGCAGATTCTCTTCTTATTGAGACACCCGCAATCTGGTATGACCTTGGTGAACAGGAGCCTAGGNCTTCTCCTCAGCCAAACAAGTAACTTCTCGCAAATAAGTTTTTCAAGGATTTTCCCCGCCACAGGGCAAATACTAATCGGACTGAAATGAGATGGCCTACTAGCGTCGGCAACCCTAGGAATGGGAGTTACCAATGCATTCTTCCATACACTAGGGGCTTCACCGAATAAAAGAGATGCATTCAATATAAACGCGACGGGAAACTGGAGGGCATAACAACACTCTCGAAACACAATCCGGGGAACGCCATCATAGGTAGCCGAATACGAAGAATTCAGCTTCTTCATAATCCTCAACACATCGCAGGGCCGGATGGTAAAGTCTGGAAAACTATCGGATGGATTGTGACTAACGGGCAGATGGAGTTGGTCAACTCTGTCTGAGTCGTGTTCACATCTGTTGAACACAGCTGCAAAATTTTACCAAGGGTTATGGCTTTGTCCCTATTCAAAATAAGAGGTTGTCCATTTTCGTCTACCTTGACCGAAGGGTTGGGGGACCCATTAATCCTTTTCTAAGATGTGCGTAGAATGCAGAGTCTTTCCGATCCCATAAGCGACGCTCCCGGTAAGCTAGATACTTTCTAATGTGATGGTTAATGTCGGAGCATACTTTTTTAAAAAGGTTACTGCACAGAGGATCATGCGGTTTACGGAAAAGCCTTGATTTCTGGTCAGTCAGATTTCTTATGTGTTTTGGGTATTGTTGCACAGCACCTCTTGAATAGCGGAAAGGTACCAATATTGAGTCATATAGGACCATGCAGAATCTGCGGTATAAATCTTCAACCGAATCAAATCCATCAAACAGTTGATTCCAGTTCACTGCGTACAGGCAGTCACCAAGCGCATCATAATCTACTCTGCTGAAATCAGGCGTGGGTAGGTAAAATCTCTCATTAACCGTAAAGTCCACCTGGAACTTAACAATATTATGGTCAGAGTTCCCAAGAGGAGGAAGTATTTCGATATTCTCAATCGAGACTCCTGAGGTCAGTATCAGATCCAAAACTGAATCCCCTCTGGTACCTGACAAAACCCACTGCTTCAGTCTACAACAAGAAAAAACCTCATTAAACCGAGAATCTGTGCTTGTGTGGGTGATGTTATTCTTCCAATCAATACTCAGGTTGAAGTCACCAGCGATCAATATGGGGTGGGCAACTGATAAAATGCCGTAGAGAGCGTTAATCAGCAAACCGTCATTTTCAAATGAAGAGTACGAATCGTATAGGCAGCATGACTTTAGTAGCCTGTTTTTTGACTCATTATACATACCCATCCGGTACAGTCTGCGGCCGACACTCAACATCAAGGATGTCCAATATACCTGTGATCTTGCCTTCTAACTCACTTTGTCGACGTGAGGCCGGAAGTTCACGAGGTTCTTCCGCTAATCCAGCAACGACTATACTTCTACTTTTTCGGTCTTCTTCAATAGTGTTAGAAATTGTGTGGACTATCTTATCTTGCAAAGCATGAATCATCGCTCTAACTACTGGGTTAGTGTTACGTTCCAACATCGCATCTAAAAGATCAGAGACCGAGCAATACCGATAGTCGATGGTTTCGCATTGAATGGACTGATCAAGTGCCACACCGGCAACTTTTCGCGATTTCTGAGACACCGTTTTTGAATTTTGTAAGGGTCTTTTACCAGCCATATTTACAACTACCGAGAACTACGAGCGAACAGGTTAATTCACTGTCAAACGCCACGTGAGCCAAATTTACGTGGCTTTAATTCAAAGCAATGATACTACCAAAACAAGTGTCGTTGTTGACCCAAAAGACCTAAAGTGGTTGCAAAATATCTCACGTTCACACTCGTCCTACTATCCGCAGCGTGGACAGTTGGTAGTCAACAAGAAAAAAGTCGGACTTTAAAAGAAAATAGCAAATTCGACCCATGAATCACCAAATCCCGCGGTAGTTATCAGAGTCCAGAGAAACGCAACCGCACGATACGGACGCACAATATGAATATGAGTGTAATAATGTCAAAACACTTCCGATATCAAACAAAGTCAGCCCTAGCTGTACTTATTTGATCAAACAAGATATTCGGCATACTTTACAGCGCAGCAATCCAGCTGTTCCCAAGTATTGCAGAAGTTACATTTTGACAAGCAAGCGCTACTGCCCTCACCATTTACGAGATTTTCCAGAAAGCAATAACCACAAGCTAGCACTTCTGTTGTAGTAAAATTTTTTAGTCTTTCGTTTTTTACTCCTCTTTTCTCTCTGTTCAAAGGCAAAACTTGAACAGGTAGGAGAAATTCGCTTTCGTTTCAGCCCTATGGTGTTTTAGACTGTCAAACTGATCTTCCATGTACTCACCCCCAATAAAGAGGTGCTCGTGCAGCTTCCTATGTCTAATTTCTTCACCACACGAGAAATTATCAGAGCTCTTGGGAAATATCAGTCGAGCCTGACGAAAAGAGAAGAATCAATAGAAAAGCGTTAGAAAGGTGGAAACTCAGCGTTAGAAAGGTGATAATATAGCCTACTCTACAAAACCTTAACAGAATGAGATATGTTCCACAAGGATGATTTTGAATGGGAAACGGTAAAAGGCATTCAAAAGAAAACCATCATAAATAGGTGCGACAGTAACTGTTCATTCAGACAAGGAAGTGAATTTTGGAAGATTGATTCCATCAAGAACGAAATATAGAAAAGGTGGCTCAAGGAGTTTTACCGCTCCCGCTCTTATGCAAACAACGCCCCCTTGTGACAGCTGCGGTTACTGTATAACACGTTCGCGAGGCGTTTCAATCTATCTTTCTGTGCGGGATGTTTTGGGTTAGGTGACATGCAAATGAGGCACTCATGTGTTCAATTTTGCACTTTTGTTCATCGACTGATGACTGCGCTCTCACATGCATTGCTCAGTGTGTGGTTTACTGCTGATCGGATGAATTTTTGATCTGAGCGAGAATCCGGCTATAGGTTGTGGTGGGTCATAAACTTATGCAAGAGGCCGGTTTTCGGAGCAGAATAATGGCTTGCTTCAGAGATTGGGCTTCATTTCATCTATTACCTCTAACCATATTTTTCCTTATTCTAGAATGTATTTGGTCCACCTATGAATTTCTTGTCTTAGCCCCGCCCACTTCTGAGATTTGGCCATATTTTTCCATTGCCTCTAATCACTTTTTACCGTTCTCTGGAACGGTTTGGAACAAAGTAATACATATTTTTAAGTAGTAGTTTCCATTTGAACAGACGCCCCGTTCACTGTAGGCGGAGCTTCGCAAAGATTATGCATGCATAACACGTGTGAGCTCACCCCTTTCATTTTTTTCTGGCCACCGCGCCTTAATTAGAGTTGTGGATTTTGGTGAAAAGTGCCGCCCACTGCGAAAGCGCTCCGCCCATCGACTGGGGGCCTCCTTCATGAAAGCGACAAAATCTACATGCCCGTCCGTGGCAATTTGCCAACATTTGCAGAGATACGTTGTGGGACCTCTGTCGGCACGGTGCCACGGCCGTGGCTAAATTTTAGTCCGCAAACGATCGGATCGCGACGAGGCGGTTTGATTTAAATGGAGTGATGAGAAAATAGTGGGGGCCGCTAATTGAAGCGATTAAATGCGTTTGAAAAGTGCAAGAAGATCGTGGGTGCTCTCAAACGACAGATCTTCAGGTCCTTGCTAATTACCTGCATACTATTTTTAGTTAGATGCTTTCCTTGGAGCATAAATCTTCGAATAGTCATTTATATGCCTTTATTCCCTTGGAGGCATGTAGATGTAACAAATTTTAAAAAATAGAACAAGGTGAGTCTCGTCGTTGATAGGCTGCGGCTTATGAGGGATCCCTGGTTAAGAGCATGTCACGTTTTTTGCATGTATATGTGACCTAATGGGAGGATTATCCTTGGTAGTAACCAAGAAAAAACAGCAGATAACTGCCAATGCTTGATCATTGAAATGATTATCTTTGTTGTGTTACAACATAACTAGATTGTCGCTGTGTTCTATTGTAACATTCATGTAATGCGCTAGGCGGAACCGAAATAGAATTCTTTGAAGCACCACTTTTGAAGATTCTTCTGCATCATTGGCGGAAGTTCAGAGCGTTGGATGGAAACTTGCTGGAGAACTTTGCAATTTAGACATTGAACTCCGTAACCCACATCTATCATTATCGATGCCCAAAGCACAGCATGTTGGTTTCAAATGGGGAAATTTTTATGACATTCGAAATGACGGTAACCATCTCAAATTCATTACGAAGCCCATGCCATTACAAACGAAAGCAGTTCACAACGCTCCGGCAAGAAAAAAAAAGATAGTTAGGCGACATTACCTGTTACCTTAACTAGCTACCAAATCCCAGCGGTTGGAAAAGGAGCAAGGTCTTTCTAGGACGATTAAGGTCAACCGTTGTTCCATTAGAATCAGTTAAATCACTCGGGTTATTTACAAGATAGCCCTTCCGTCAACAAGTTCAGTTTCAATGACAATTTTGATGCTATATTAATCCTGGTCGTGACTACGAAGATTGGAACGTGGCAAAGCTGAGCGACTGCATCCGACTTTTGTTTTTAGTTTCAAATGAAATCAACGTCCTCAACTTCTTTCATTATCCTATTCTAATGAAGCTTTCATTCGCTAGCCAAAAATGTGCGGATCGGAGTTGAGGCGGGGCCACGGCTGTGGCACCGTGCCAACAGAGGTTCCACAACGAATATCTGCAGAAGTTGGCAAAATGCCATGGACGGGCATGTACATTTTGTTGGGTTCACTGAAACGCACTGTACCACGGATACGCGAATTTTCACCAGGCCCGAGAAGGGAAGGAACACCGGGGTGGGATAGTTTCCAGCTTTTCACTTGAAG